AGTAAGGAATCTTTAATAAAAGTTTGAGACATGGTGGAGGGGGGATTTAATAACTTTAAGAATTAAATAAATCTCAAATGGCAATGAAGCTCCTAGGTCTTGCTAATGTATGTCACATAGTTTACTGTATATGGGGACTAAGTAATGAAGTGAGTTATAGTACTGTATACATTCATATTAATAGATTTCCTTTATATTATCCAATTGTTTTTTTTAACCCAGTCTTTCTCCTTATGCAGGCTATAACAAAGTTCATATTAAGAAAACTGTGTTATAGCAGTGGTATACAGTATATTACTAATGATGTCTTGTGTTACTCAGTATTTTTTTTTACATCTGCAGATTGATGTTTCTCACTTGACTGATTACTCCTCAGGATTAATTCCCTGGGGAAATCTGTCCAAAATATTTCAAGTTTCTGTTCATGATCCTTTGAATGCCATTTATTTAATTAATAATTTTGAAATGCATTACAGTAGCAGGTCCTGTAGCCGACTACGCCTCCTAGCAATTTTAAATGAGGACTCTTCTCCCCGCACAGACGCTCAGATCCCCCAGAGCAACCAGCACAAGATAGGCAAGGTTTAGCCTAACGTGCTCCTTGCAGCCATCAAAAGCTATCACTGTACATGCACCAGAGAGATACAGATAACTTTATTGGCCATACACAATTTCTTGCATTAGGAATTTGTCTTTTCACATACCCCAACTTGCTCTCCATGAGACACACAGACAGGGAGAGAAGCTCGGGGTCAGAGCACAGGGTCAGTCATTGTACAGTGCACCTGGAGCAGTTGGGGTTAAGGGCCTTGCTCAGGGGCCCAACGGAGTAGGATTCCTGTGCCAGCTGCAGGATACAAACCGGCAACCTTCCAGCCACATGTGCAGATCAAGAGCCACAGTGCCACGCACTGCCCCAAAACAAAATAGTATATTGTAGCGTATTCTTGGGTTTGTGCCCTTGCGGCTCCCGGCCCAGTTTTTCCCTCATCGCATGGGCTCGAACCCGGGTCTCCGGTATCGCTCAACAGGGGTCTTGCCGATTGAGCTAAAGAAAACCTTAAACACTGCAACAACAATGCAACTACCCAGTCCAAACAACCATGAGAAAAAGGACAGAAGAAACTCCCATCGTGCACTCACTGACAGAAACACAGTTCCATACTGGATCTCTCCATCTCGTGCCAGGATGAGTTTTTTTGTAATGGAATATCTCTCTGCCACACAGAAGAAAGGATGCAAACTGCTTAATACTTTGGCTAGCTAGCTTCTTCGTTCATTTTGACAGTCCCAGAGAAGTACAGTCCCCAATCCCGCCCTCTACACAGTCTCAGGAGAAGGGAGGAAGAGAAAGCACCTTCGTCCACTGGCCAAGGCTTATATGTCCTTATTCTGGCCAGATCTCCAGGACTTGAATGAAGGGCTGGGAAGGCCTGGGTGATCACAGGGGAGGGGGGTAGGCAGACATAAACAAGTGGGGGGGCTTCTTGAGGATGGCCTGTGTGCAGATAACCAGGCGTCATGGTGTCTCTCCTTCCTTTCTTCTTGCTCCCCCAGTCTCAGCTGGCTCCAAACCCCCACGCTTCTAATGTTGTAATTGGGTGTCCAGGCAAACAGTCTGTCACTCAGGCTGTTAGGGCTGCCGCCTGCTATACTGTCTGTGCGGGAAAAAAGGCAGGGTGTATTTAGAAGGAGGGGGAAGCAGACACAAGAGAAAAAAAGACAAACACTGACAAAAACATTGGTCATTATATGCAGAACTTAAGTAAATATAACTTTCCAAGCCACTGCCCTACTCCCACTTCTGTGACACTCTTTCAAAAACAAGTGCACAGCCCTCTGTAAATGACAAAGCAGGGGGCAGACCTACTGCAATTAATTCATTTGCACTAATGTATCTTTTCTGGATGTCTAACGAATTCTCCTCTCCAAAAATGTCACATCTCTGTCAATTTCATGGTTATTATGTTTCAAAATGTTCTGTTTCACAGTTTACAATGTAGTCTTAAAGTCTTTTGTTTTTTAACAAAACAAACATTTTAAAACAGCAAAAGAAATATCAACCACAAAGTTTTTAATTAGGTTTTTTGGTTTATTTGTCCTGCAGCTACAATCTGGAACATTGGTATTTAATGTTGCTTCTTGATGTCAGTGACTGAATATGAGCACAGAGCACCCAGCAGAGACCTTCCAATTTGGTCATTTGTCCACCAACTGTCAGGAAGGAGACTTCACTGGTCATATGATGGATTGTGCATTGAGGTTTTGACATGCAAATGATTTCATGGACAATTTACACCAGGAATGCACAAATGCTCAGGCTATTAAAGAGTTTTAGTAATTCTATTGCTTTTTTTCTGGCTTCTCTCAGACACTCAAATTTACAGAAAACGGGAAAACAAATCTTGCGAAAGTGCTCCAAATCCACTTGTTACGCAAAGTTGAATTGGAAACAAGTCATGCAAAACTGAGTCCCCGAGTTTTACAAATCTGTTTTACAAACCCAGTTATGAAATTCAAAGAAGGCGTTTTCAGCCTATTTATAAGTGGTGAGTTAGTGGGTTTCAACTACTGGGTAGATGTACTATATAATAAAAGCTGCAAACGAGATGAGCCCACTTAGCCCATCTTGCTTGTCGGGTAGTGTAGTGACTGAAACCAAAGTTTTATCTGATTATTTTTATCTCCCCAAAGAAAATGGGAGCCTATAAATAGGTGTTCACTTTTCATTTACATAATGAATTCGTTTTCAGTTGTGACCCCATGTCTCTGTTTTTCTGCCCAATCTGAAGAAGTATTCTGGGTTGACCGTAATATTATAATGTGGTATGGTGACCAAAACTGAGCCGAGCACCTTATTCTAAACTATAAACTTTCTAATGTAAAATCCTTCCATTTTCTAATTACTTTATCCAAGCAACAGGTGCAAGGTAGAATACACCTTGGATGGGATGCCAGTACATCACAGGGCACACACTCATGCCAGGACCAATTTTCCCAGAAGTCAATTAATGTATTAGTACAGATGCAGCCATTCAAAGTGCGCGGTACACACACGTACCAGAGGTAATTGGCTACGGTGTCGCGCATTGTGACGCACGATGACGCGCGGTACCGTGGTACGTGATTGGTTGACCGACAGGGGCACTCGTGGTCCGTTGGTCTGTCGTAGAAAGATTTACAGTAAATGTCTTTACTGTGCCCGTTGTAGTATTGAATATTTATATTGAATTTTACCACTGAAGGGAAATCTTAGTACCTGAGCATAAAAAGAATAGGAGCATACTGCAACGCGTGTGAAGGCCATAAACGATATTAATTTTGGAACTTAAACATACAGTATATGGCTGGTCTCGGTACTTTAAAGAAAACATACACACCAGTATTCAATTTCTTCCTAAACATTTTAAGCATCGAAGTCTTTAACGTGATACCGGAGTCAACAAGCATACTTTTAGAATTTGATTAAAAGGGAATATAATATGGAATTGCGTATCTAAAGAAATTAATAACGATATAATTATATTCATGTTGCAAAAAAACTGCAACGGACATAAAAACTCCCTTGCTTTTAACAGAGCGTTCCATAATTTCTAACTACGAAAATTATTTAAACTGCGACACTTATCATTCAACCAGAGCTCGAAATATCACAAGGATCCTCTAGAGCACAGCAAAGACTGTATTAAAAGAATCGCGTATCTAAAGAAATTAATAAGATATAATTATATTCGTGTAGTGCGACAGGGCTGTGTAGGGCTGTTTCACCTCTCTTCATGTGACTCTATTCAAAAGCCATTTAGCAAAGAGGGGATGAGAAGAGTGACAAACTAGTATACAGTACTTTAAAACATTAATAAAATAATAATAATAAAAACAATAAGTCTTTGAACTGCGACGTTAATTGGCTTCTGTGCTGTCTAGAAGAAGATGTGATAAGGCTTTCCCTCTCTAAATCCATGTTAGCCATCTCTTAAAATGCTCAGGTTTTGTACATTTTCTCATTTATGTATTTAGTTTTCCTAACATCACCGATAACAAAAGCAAGACTGAAAGCTCTAACTAGCTCCTGGTTCAATTTTATCCCCCTTGTTAAAAAAACTGGTGTTAAAAATTGTATTTCTCCAGACGGTGGTTGTAGTTCCATTCCTTAGATTTAAAATATCTTAACAAAAGGTCTATGAATAACATTTATCATTTCCGTACTCAGATACCATTTAGGCTCCAGTGACTTACAGGTTTATTTTAAGTCGTTCAGCCCTTTAGATCTGTGTCTGCTATCTCTTGCTGCAGGCATGTTATTGAGGTTTTGTTGTAAAGATCCAGATGAAATATTTAGTTGTTATTATTTTATTTACATCTGTTACCATCTTAGTAGTAGTATTTTATTCTACTACAGTATGACAGCGCATTTTTTGTTGAAATACTGGGGGAAAAAAAGTTTGCATTATTTTTTGCCTGTGCTGAAATGTTCTCTTCTGTCTCTGCTGTTTTTTATTTATATGCACCTGTATCTTTTCTGCCTCTTTTTCTCTTTTTGAGCCCACTTTCCAATCTGGCGACCTTTATCCTCACTCTTTTTTTTTCTTCAATTAATCCATTTTGGCCATATTTTCCCAGTCTTTAACTTATTTGATTTAAGATAGAATATGTTGTGAGCTATTGTTTATGAATTGTAACCTTCTTCTTTTGACTTTGTATCCATCTGTTCCCTGTTTGGAAACCATGCACCTATAAACCAAATTACATTTCTTTTGTTTTTTCCAACTATTTGTTCCACTCAAGTTCTGATCTCTGACAAACGGCTGCTGTGGAAAAATGAAATAACAAGGCAGTTGAGCTCAGAATGATGGCCTTTTTGCTAAATTTGGCTTATAACCCTTTGCCACTATGTACAGATTGAAGATGCAATCATGCTTTGTAGTTTTCTGTGCAAGGATTAGTTTTGGTGTCTTTGGAAAAATACGCTACTCTCTGCCCGTCTCTCTCGTATCTCTCAGCTTTGGACGTTGAGCGTTTTGACCTTCAGTATGAGTTCAACAACACGGATCACCGGACGGACCTGAATGGCGTGGACCGCCTCATTGTGAGGAGAGGCCAGCCTTTCACCATCACTCTACATCTTCGCTCCGGGACCTTCCGGCCAGGAGTGGACACCTTCAGCCTTGTTGTTGAGACAGGTACGCTTGCCTCTTTCAGGTACTGCACAGGAGGCTGTGCCAAACTGTAGGATCATCTTAGCAGTGCTGCTGTCTTTAGTCACAAAAATACAACTACAGCATGTTTTCGTTAAAAAACCTTTGGGCACCTATAAAAGGAGGCTCTGAAAACTGTTAAGGTGGCTTGGAGGTAAGGAGGGAAATTATTTTTTCTAAAAAAAAATGCCATTTACTGTAAATAAACGCCACACCTTCCTTGCATTATTTTTCTCTGTGCTCTCACCAGTGTACCAACATCTTATAGGACAAACCGCTTGCTCCCACACAGGAAATGTGTTGTCCCAGATAGCAATTTCCATGGTGACTGGACTGTGGAAATGTTTATAGAGGGCTGAGAAGTGAACTTGCAGGTGACCTTCCTTTGGAGTTTTACAGAAAGAAAGCAAACAGCCCTTTGCTGAACTGTAATGGTGGTAATGTGAACTGGGGTGTGTTTGAAGGTCCTGTCACTTGGAGCAATTCCCAGACGGAGCACAATGGAATTCCTGCGTCCGTGTTTCAGTTACAGCCCGCTGCAGTCACAGAGGGAGGAGCAGTCCTCTCCTTTAGCTGATTAAAAGCACAAAACGTTTTTGCAGAAGAGCGAATAGCAAACCGTTAAGCTTTTTTTAGCACAGTTCTCTTCTTTCACCATAAAAGGGAGAGTCATAGTTTCTAAGTTAGCCTGCAGGATGCCCCAACCCAGATGTTACCATTTAAACAAATGGTAGTCTGAAAAAACAACAAAGAAATTCTGTGCAATGCAAATCTCATTTCCAGCTAGACATTTTTTCAATTTGTGCTCATTTTTACTGCACAACTTTCTTCATGTTAAGTTGAGCTATTTCCACAGTTTGCAAGGCAGGGATTGTAAAAACCACTTAATTCACACACAGTCTGTTAAAGGAATAAATACTTACTCACAGTGTGGAATTCTCACTAGCATGCCTGGACTTTGTCACTACACACTTCACACACTGTGTCAGTGGCTTATGCTATCTCATTGTAGATCTTTCTAAAGATTAGCAAAAACTAAATTAAGCAAATAAATTAAACCATGTAAAACTCCAATTATAGATAGCGCATGTCTGGAAGTAAAAACATCATGTGTGCTGAGGATTTATTTGAGCAGTACAGCCAAGTTGTGAAATCAATCTGTAACAGTTACTGCTGTGCTGACACTTGTTTGTCAGAGAACATCTGTGATCTTGGTGCATCCTCGCATTTCTTTTAAGACCTATCTAATAAAAACCTCATCACCTAAAAACTATACCCTCATGAACATAGACATTTATAGCCTTGTAAAATTAATCTTCTGAATTTAAATAATCTTTTTCTGCCACTTAAAACAATGAGATTTGATATTGTATGGCCAGAGAATACAGGCCCTATCTTCAATTTAAAGCTTCTAAACAAATCACTACGATTTCAGTTCACCATACACTAATATATTGAGATAAACTCACATTTTGGCCATATGCAGTTTCTAAGATTGCTAATATGCAGTATTAGAAATTTGTCTTTTCACATACCCCAACCTGCTCTCCCCGAGACACACAGACAGGGAGAGAAGCTTGTGGTCAGAGCGTTGGATCCCAGCCATTTATACAGCTCCCCTGGAGCAGTTGGGGTTAAGGGCCTTGCTCAGGGGCCCAACGGAGTAGGATTCTTCTGCCGGCCATGGGATACAAACCGGCAACCTTCCAGCCACAGGCATAGATCCTTAGCCACAGAGCCACTGCACTACTGTATTAATGTATGCATCTGAAGCAAAGTTTAATTAAACTTACATTCTGGGCCCTCATCAGTGCCCATATATATTAAGGTTTCAATTAATACAAAATTCTAGACAAATGTTATTGATCTTAAACTAAACAATTAAGCTTATTGCTTATTGTAATGCACCAGTAATTTCCATTTTTTTTTATTTTAAATGAGAAGGTCCCTTATTCATTTCTGACTTCATTAAATATGGAATTTCAAATAATTGTGTTGTGGCTTTAAGATAAATATTTATTTTAGCAATTTAAATGGAGATTATAGTGTTTTAAAGAATGGACCACACCTACTGTATGCCGTTTAGTGATCTAGGAATCTAAATTGTTTCCTTAATTCCTATAAATAAAACACTCCACTTGTGAAGTAGTGCCCATTGGTGTTTATCTTGACTTCACTCATTTGAATGGCATTCATGAGGCCTTGAGCAGCTTCCTGTGTTTGCCCAGACTGATCCAGGAGGGCAGTTCTAATGAAGCCCTTTCTCCCTTGGTTTGCAGGCCCATGTGTTTCCCAGGCCAGTGGCACCATGGCCACCTTCCCTGTAGGAGAGTCTGTTGACCGCAGCCAGTGGAGTGCCACAGCGTCCAGCTGTGCTGGAACTGAAGTCAACCTGTCCATCTGCTCTCCACCAGACGCTCCCATCGGCCTCTACTCTCTCATCCTGCAGGACAGGGACACTAGTGTCCCAGCTGGGAAGTTTGTGCTGCTCTTTAACCCCTGGTGCTCAGGTGAGCAAGGCTTGCTGACTGAACTGATCTCCCTCTGCAGCAGGATTGCAATCTGTGATCTTTGGGTCTCTCAAGACCTAGGAAAGTGCAGGTTAATCAAAGGTAAAAAGGAAAACCCATCACATTCACAAGGCCATTACACTTTCAAATAATTCAAAGGTAAAACAAAATTGATATCAAGAACTAGACTGTGCAGCTCTGCTAGACACCACCTTTTATTACATAAGAATAAAATGTGTTTTAGATGGACGCTATTTCAAATGAAAATGATTATTAGAATTCAACACTATAAGGATATTAATATTTTTTGTACAAAAGGAGTAGTTTTGAAGTTTGATGCAGACCTTCCCCACACATACACTTTGAATGACCTTTAGGCAAGAGAAACCGCAGTGGTAGACATGCTTAATGACAGCCTTCTTATCCAGTTGGCACATTTACAAGAGGAAATGCTTGTATATATCTTCTCATTTCAAACAATTAAGACAGAATGAGGCAAGCAGAGGTGAGAAAGCCACTGGGGAACTGAGATCATAATATGTTTTGAAGTATATTTTGAAACTGTACAGGTTCAGCCCAAAGCCAAAGTTGACAATTTCCTGAAAGCAGACTTTGAAGAAATGAGGCACAGTTAAAAAAGCAAAATGGGATAGGATATACAGTATATGAAAATGGTGGAAAATTGATGGCAGCAGCTTAAATAGTTTGTTACATTAACAGAACAATGAGTAAAAATTTTAGTGAGTAAATTTTAAAAGCAAAAAAAAAAATTTGGTGAAGTGCTTTATATTTTTCCATTTCTTGAACCACCGTTTATTTTTAATTAAATGATTAAAAAACAACAGTTTCTGGTAAAAGAAATGGAGAACTATGAATAGAAGCACATGTAAAAATGGATCTGGTCTTAGAAAGACCAAAAGATAAATTGAAAGGTAAAAAAATGAGGTTATTTCAGCAACAGAAGCTCATCAATGATGAGATCAAATTATTCCTATAATTGTCCAGGACAATAATAGGAAACTTCTTGACTGTGAAAGGAAAATGGCTGATGTACATGATGAGTGTTTTGCTCAGGTGCAAGTAAGGAAGAAGTCAACAACATGTCTAAGGCAGTGGAGGGACAAAGATCTGTATTGGATACAGCAGTTTCATCGTAGAAGAGGCAGAAGAGTTTTGGTACTGAAACCACTCAGATGAATTAATCTCCAGGGCCTGATTGTGTCTTGCCAGTTTTGCTTAAGAAAATGAAATGCTATCCAGAAGCCTCTAACAGAACTATTCCAACGGTTGCTCAAGACAGTGCCCAAGGAGTAGAGAATTAGAGAAGTAGTATGTCCATCATTAACCAGATTGATAAAACTGAATCCAGTATCTATAGACCAACATCTGACTCTTCTGACTTCTAAGGTCAAACAATTATTAGAACTAAACCAGAGGCTCGGCTGCATGAAAATAACATCCTAGGGAATAGTCAACATGAATTTAGAAGAGGTACCGGGGAGGACAAAAAAATGGATACATCTAATGAAAAATTATTTGTCAATTAGTTACAATACATGTTTCACATTCATTTCAGTAGGAATTACCAGTATGTTTCTGCTATAAAAGATGTCTTAAAATCAACACATGTAATGTAATACTGTAAGTAAATTTCGAAAGCAACAGGAGAGATGTAACATATTTTAATAGAGATCAAGTAGTTGGTGCCTGAATTGCAAGTGTGTCACTCATAGAGGGAAAACAGCATCGGGAAAGAACAGTGGTCGCAAGTTGAAGCTCACAGGCAGGGATTGATGGACACTTAACAGGATTGTTAAAATCCACAAAATCAGCCTCCCAAATGATCACAGGACAGCCTATACCTCTGTGACCCAGTCTCAAGATACCCTGTATGTCATGAGATACATGTCATGAGATTGGTAGGACTGCTATTCGGAAACCACTTGTAACCAAGGCAAATGCACAGCATCACATAATCTGGTTTAATGAGCACAAAACACAGACTTTTGAGCAGTGGAAGAAAGTAATGTGATCTGATGAGTCATCTTTTACTCTTTTTCCCAAGTCTGCTTGGGTTTATATTTAGGGAACGCAAAAGGAAATATTTGACTCGCACTCCCTGTTCCCAGCTGTCAAAAATGGTAGTGGATCTGCTATCTTGTTATATGCCATCTCATGAGAGTCCATGACTCGTATTATTCCTCTGCATGATAGAATTAATGTCAAGGAATGCAAAGCCATTTTAGGTGACCTGTAGTGTAAACATTTCCAATGTTCCAAGGCGATAGTTCCCACATAATACTACTAAATGGATCAAGAGTGGTTTCAAGTCCAACATCTTCCATGGCCTATCCAGTCACCAGATCTAAACATAATTGAACCTTTATGGACAGTTGTAGAACACTGAGTGCAGAGATTTTCAGCTTCTTCATCTAAACAAAGAACTGGAGGGTGTCCTTCTTGAAGAATGGTCTAATATCCCAGTAGAAACAGTTCAAAACCTGTATAACAGTATTCCAAAAAGGACTTTAGGCAAATCTCAATCCTTCTCAAAATCTAAATACGATGCATTTTTTAAGAACTCTTTAACAAGTTGTTTAGGCAGGACCTACAGGAGGAGGACAAAATAATGGAAACACCAAGCAATATATGAGTATTTATTAATAAGGAGTTTGCTTACACTTACATCATGTAGGAAATGTGGGGAAGTAATTAAAAAGACACAATTCTAGGCTATCTACTGTAGTTAAAAGCAGATAATTTAAGATTGAAGTTCCCAGTCCTGATCCTGGTGGGCCAGTATGCAAGTTTTCTAGTTCTGTTTAAAACCAAAGCAACCAAATTATGGGGAGAAGCTGTTAAACTGACCCATGTAAGCCAGTAACGGGCTGATTCAGGTTGTAACATGTCCAGCTTGACTGAAAGCCTGTAGATGCACCAGCCCTCCAGGACCAGGATTGGATCCACATGTTAAATTAATCTTAAATCTCAAATTGATTGGCTCCATGACTCCATGACATATGACTACCTTCATATGTGCTAATAGTAGTCTTGCAAATACACAGTTACAGATCTGTTATACTAACACGCACAAAAGGATTTGTTGTAGACAACAAAGGAAAGGAAGGTTGTATTTTTTACAGACTTTAAAGGCCTGTAAAGGTTAAAAGTGGAATTAACAATTAAAAAACATCAAAAGGACAAAAAGTAATTTAATCTTCCGCTTGTGTATAAGCAGTTTCCACAGCACATTTTGGGCCCCAACTGCAGGATTGTGCCCTGACCCTAAAATTCTGAAGACCTGGCAAATTGAATATTTTAGAAATGAAAAAATCAAAATGTTAACATGATTTCTTGTAAAGATTCTATATAGTAATTGTTTGCATGAATGTTATCTGTTTTTCACAGAGGATACTGTGTATATGGCTGATGAAAAGAAACTGGAGGAGTATGTTTTGGCCCAGGATGGTCTTATTTTCCGGGGCAATTACAAATTCCCCGTTCCAACCCCTTGGAACTTCGGACAGGTAACATGATAGCTAAAATAATTACAATGTCATAAATATGGGCTCAGTACACCCTCTCCATGTGTAAAATAACCAAGTAATAGATAAAACGCACATTAGATCAAAATTCCAACTAAACTGTTTAAAATTAATTACAAGTATTAAATTAACAATACTTGTTATGCTATCCTGTAACGAGGTGGAATTTCTGCTAAATTGGGATCTAGTGAAGTCCCAGTGAGTAAAATGTAAAAGGCAATAAAATAAACCCTGAAAATCTGAAAATGCTGTGAAGTCGTAATTATAATGGTGGTGTTCAGGTGTGGGGCAGGGTGAGCATCCTTTGGAAGTGATCTTAAATCAAGGTACTGACTACGTGGGGTTTAAAAATCCCATGTCAGTGTTTTAAGAGTCAGCCTGTTAGCCTGAGGAACTGCTAACAGGTGTAGGGTGAAAGTACTTTGGCTAATTCACCTATTTAAGGGGGGGTCAGCTAGTTGCTATAACCAGAGGACCTTGTTGACTCTGTCTGTGCTCACTCTTGTCAGTTCGAACCCGGGATCCTGGATGCCTGCCTGCGCATTCTGGACATGAATCCCAAATTCTTCAGGAATCCAGAGCAGGACTGCTCAGGGAGGAGGAACCCTGTGTACGTCACACGGGTTGTGAGTGCAATGGTGAGCAGTACCTTATGACCATGCTTGTGACTCCTACTCACCCACCTCATGCCTTCCTGCTTCGAACCATGAACTCATGGGCACACTCTCTGCACTGTGCTGCACTCTTTTTCTGCGGTGGGCCCATCACGGTCCTCAATGTCCTCCCGTTCTCTTTAAGACTTGGTTTTCAATAGCTGGGATAAAACAATCCATAACATAATCATGGCTTAAACACATTCCATCAGATATCTGTTTGTTAAAATGAGTGAAATCTGTGTTCCCAGTATATTGATGGGAGTGCATTTATTGGACCAATCTAAATGATACAGGAGGTAGCAGAGATCTTGCAAAGTTTTGTCCTTAATGCCATCATCTAACATTCTGTTGAGGTCTGTTAGCGGTGGAATGAAAGTAATTCACGTTGAAAGAAACTAAACCTTCATGTATACTCTGTAGCCAGAGTAGAGGTACTACACTTCAGTCAGTTTAAATCCCAGAGTATAAACTGAATTTTCTGTAGATATTAAACTGAGTGAGCTTTCTCAATTCTAGATCAACTGCAATGATGATAAGGGGGTCCTGTATGGCAGATGGGACAACAGTTACTCGGACGGAGTGAATCCCAGCAGCTGGAATGGCAGTGTGGAGATTCTCCGCAATTGGGACTCCATGTCCTGCCAGCCTGTGAGATACGGACAGTGCTGGGTGTTTGCTGCTGTGGCCTGTACGGGTAAGCATCTTCATGGCTTTACTGCACTGGATACCCTGGGGAAGATCCTGGCCATTCATCACAACCAGCACAAGTGTTAAGATAAGATCACTGTATTTGCCAATTTGCAATTGCTCTCCACAAGATACACAGACAGGGATTAAGATAAGATCACTTTATTGGCCATATACAATTTCTCGCATTAGGAATTTGTCTTTTCACATACCCCAACTTGCTCTTCCTGAGACACACAGACAGGGAGAGAAGTTTGGGTCAGCCATTTATACAGCACCCCTGGAGCAGTTGGGGTTAAGGGCCTTGCTCAGGGGCCCAACGGAGTAGGTTTCCTCTGCCAGCCACGGGATATGAATTAACAACCTTCCAGCCACAGTCGCGGATCCTTAGCTACAGAGCTACCACACCACCCTAGGAGCAACTAGTGCTTGATTAGCCTTAAAGTAGTACTGAAGTTTCCTAACATCATGCTGTAAATAAATGAACAAGTGCAAGTATTTTACATACATTATATATATAAAATGGCTGGCGCAGCAGTTAGCATTGTTGTCTCGCAGACCAGGAGCCCCAAGTTCAGTTCCCAGGGTACTGTGTGGAGTTAGTACGTTCCCCCCATGTTTGCATGTGTTTCCTCTGGGTGCTCCAGTTTCTTACCACTGCCCAAAGACATACAGTACTATGATGAATAGCTTCTGGGAATATTGGCCCTGGTGCAAGTGTGTGCATGTGCCTGTCTGCCCTGCAATGGACTGAAATCCAGTCCCGTTGCCTGCTGGGATAGGCTCCGGCTCCCCTGCGACCCCATGCTGGATGAAGCTGAAATGGATGGATGCAGAGAAAGAAATTTGACCCAAAATGCTAATCTGGAACATTGGGGGGTACAAAATATGACACAATAGAGATATTTACCATCATTATTTTGAAGTATACTATATTATTCCAAATGATGTAATATTAAAAGCTAAAAGATTTTTTGCTGCATATACTATGTATTGCTGTATTTATTACATTGAAGTTAAATAATGAAGCAACATCATCTGAATTTTGGAACTGTTTGGCAGTTCTTCGAGCTCTGGGAATCCCAACTCGCGTCGTCACCAACTACATGTCTGCTCACGACACCAATAGCAACCTCGTCATTGAGCGCTACTTCGATGAAAATGGGAGTCCGCTCAAGAAAACCCGAGACATGATCTGGTAAGGAGGTTGATGAGTTCCGCAGAATTGCAGAATCAAACTGGACTCTGAAATTGTCTTATCTGCACTGGATCTCCACAAACACCATAGGAACATAGTTTATGTACAGTACATTTAAGAACATTCAAGCTAAAAATATGCCAAACAGTATTGTTACAGTTTCAGTAGGTATTGTTCTATTCTTTTCACAGCCAAACTGGCAAAAATATTGAATATGAAATAATTGAATATGTTTACTTCAAATGTCTGTCATCCTTAAGGACAACATGTAGACAGATTGTAAAACAAAATGGCTTTTCTTGTACACGGGAGGTCCTCTTAGGCTTGTGTGTCATTGCAGGAACTTTCACTGCTGGGTAGAGAGCTGGATCAAGCGCCCAGATCTAAGTCCAGACTTCAGTGAGTGGCAAGCTAGTGACCCGACACCCCAGGAGAAGAGTGAAGGTACTGATGACGATGAAGTCTGTTTTATATAACACTTTCCAAAAGCACATTTCACAAAATCAGTTACAATGTGGATATCGAAGATGCTTTTTGGGATCAAGTTTTCATGCTAGACATTAAAGCTTTTTAAGGAATGAGAGCCTGATTAATTTTGGGATGGTGTTAAGAACAGAAGAATGACCACTGTTCTGATCGGTTGTCTGGAGGGTTCTGTTCATCCAGTGTGAGCTGGGGCTCTGTGCATAGATGAACGACACTGACACACAGCAAACTAGATCATCAGATTTAAGTCATGAAAGGGTAAGCAGATACTGGGGAACCAAGCCATTTTTTTCACCTGTGCATGTACCAGCTTGATTTTCTCTGTACAGAATCCATGATGTATGCAGTTCCTGCTGAGTACTTGAAGTTAGTTAGACATGTTTGTCAAGACTGGAACCTGCTGAATATAAAGTTTATTTTTGATTCAGGGGAATTTTAAGACCTGCTCAGAGTTGTCCTGGGACTGCTGGGTTATTCTTTCACTCTCTTTCTGTCCACAGGTGTTTACTGCTGTGGGCCTGTCCCCGTAAAAGCTATCAAGGAAGGAGAGCTCACTTTCAAGTATGATGCACCCTTTGTATTTGCTGAGGTCAATGCCGATGTGGTCAGCTTCATAAAGCGTAAAGATGGCACTGAGGACAAGATCAGAGGCACTGTCACAGTGGGCCAGTCCATCAGTACCAAGAGTGTGGGCAGTGACGACCGGGAAGACATCACCCATCTCTACAAGTACCCTGAGGGTAGGTGGCCCAAAGACTGCTTTCAGCCTTCACAAATGGCTCAGTCAGTGACTCTCAGCCTCCTTGCAGCTCTGAACATATAAAGCAACCCAACTAGTCAGTAGATAATTGATTCTTATCTCATCCTGTCATGAGAATCCAAGATGTACACTACAATGGTATAGGAATTTTGGGGGACAAAATGTTTTTTAAAAAGATTATTACGACCAGAGTTCCATTATGTATGAGCACTGCTCTAATGGAGATGAAGTAAATGTATACATAAGAGACCAACTAAACCCTTGCTGTCTACCTTTTTTTCTATCATATGGCTGTGTCTGGTGCTTGTAACAGTGGTCGTGTGGCTGTGAGGCTCGAATTGCTCCATCCTGCACTCCATTTGGCTTCACATCAGTGCTGGGAAAGCAGTTGCCCCTGGGTCACGTGTAGCCCTCAGAGACACATTTGGTGCTGCCAAAAATGTTTGGCAAAGGTTTCAAAAACTTTGCAGCCATCAAACGTTATTTGCACAAATTAAGCACAGTGTATGTTTGTTTTTGGTATGTCTTGTTAAATGTTTTTATTAGGGGAACCTTGAGCTGGGAATGTGCTGGGAATTTGGCAGCGGATGCTCTGGTGTCTGTGTGTGAAAGCGGTGTCTGTTATAGCTATAGGCATAGCCTTTGGTCTTGAACCATGTTTATTAAACCTCCTCCCACATACAATTAATTACAGCTATAGCTCTAAAGTTTTAACAAACTGCCACGTGCCTGACTATTCTTCCTGCTTGAAACAAGAGCCAGAGTTCTTGCCTACCTCCTGTCTAAGAATCAGACACACAGAGTTGGTCTGTTTTGGGCGTTGCAGGCTCAGAGGAGGAGAGGCGGACCTTCAGGAAAGCCAACCACCAGAACAAGCTGCTGCAGCCTCCCCCCGAGCCGGGCCTGCACCTCAAGATCAAGACGTCGAAGGACATGAAGAAGGGCTGTGACTTTGACGTGTTCGCTGTCATCTCCAACAACACCCCCATGGCCAAGCTGTGCCGCCTCATGTTCTGCGCCAGGGCTGCCTTCTACAACAGCACCACAGGCAAGGAGTGTGGCATGAAAGACCTGCTCAACGTGCAGCTCTCGCCCAGTGAAGGTGAGGAATCGGCTGGCAGATTTCCACACAGGCTCACTGGCTTGCTGTTCTCTGTAGAAAAATAAGCTTCTTCTCAAACCATGTTGCTCAGAGGATCACACTGAATGTAAATAAGTGACGCCCTACTTGTGTAGCCCTCAGGATGAAGCCTTTTGGGTGTATGTATCCTCAGATCAATTCCCTTCCACTCTGAGAACTCCTACAAAAAACTTTGTTTTAGGGGGAAAAATACCATTTGCATTTAATCTAACAAAAATAAGACAAGGGAGTACATTGCATTTAAATGCGTTTTATGTCTCCACACTTGATTTCATTGGCTGTGACATTCGAGTTTTTATAGCGCCAATCAATTGGAAAAGCTAAAATTGCTTAAAGGTAAAAGTCCGCAGATCTGTATATTCTGCCATTTTTCCTAAATAACAGGAGTGCAGTGAATCTCCTGTTGGAATTCATTATTTTTTTATCAGCCAAGCTCCAAATGGAGTCATGAACCTTGTGTTTGAGCAAAACTACAATTGAGGAGAAATGAGCAGTACTAGTAATTGAGTGAAACTACCTTTCTTGAATTGCTGCCTGGAAAGCAAATCTCTAGTATGTTCAACCTACAGAACCAGGACTTTCATTTTCTAAGAGGTTAGTTTTCATTGTTTTTAAATAAAGCATACCCCCTTTAAAGCAAAAATAGTTTGTTCTGTCGGTCCTTTTTGTTCATTTTGTGTACATAGTAACGTAGTTTTTTGTTGAAAGTGCTTGTTTTCAAGTGCCACATCTGCTCCAGAATGGAGGAGGATAGAAAATAGAATTCTGGAAGTATATATTTTTTTTATTTTAATGCTTTGTATTTCATTACTCATGCCTTCTTCCTCAAGCAATGTCAATGTGTTGTGCTTTTAGAGAAGACCGTTCCTCTAAGGCTGAATTACACAAAGTATGGGGAGGTCCTCACCCCAGACAGCCTCATCAAGGTCGTGGCTCTGCTCATGGACTACCACACCAAAGACGCCATCCTGGCCATGCGAGACATCGTCCTGGAGGACCCAAAGATCAAAATCAAGGTAAAGCCCAGCCCCCATGGCAAACCTGTCAAACCTGTATGTTTGTGTGACCTAGCAGAGCTCCCAGCGTGGAATCTGCCGATTGAACTCCCCTGCAGATTGACTATGAGGAATTCAATACAATGACTGTAAGCCACGCACACATTACGCAGTCTGAACGAACTGAATACCTAATGTAAAAATTAAAAAGAATTGCACTAAGAATATCAACTTCTTGTGTACACAAAGGGTGGGTGGTATGTCGAACAAACTGCCCGGCCAAGTTATTAGAGATGGTTATCTGGGATCTTTAAAAAGCTGGGGGGGGGGTGAGAATCCTGGATCGATAAGGTGGTAACCATTTCGCCCAAGGGGGTTGTTTTTCTTTCATCCGTCACCTTTCTCATTTCCATATGGGGGATGTTTCAGAAAGTGAGGATGCGTCTTTGACTGTAAAATGCCTTTTGGGAATATAAAGGTTAGAAAGGGAAAGCGTGTCTGAGGTGGAGGCTCAGTAGGTGAGGATGTCTGGCCTCCGATCTCCAAGCCGTGTGCCCCTTCCTAGATCCTGGGGGAGCCCAAGCAGAACCGCAAGCTGGCCGCTGAGATCATTCTGCAGAACCCGCTGGCGGAGCCCCTGGAGAACTGCACCTTCTGCCTGGAGGGAGCCAACCTCACCGGCGGGAGGACCATCAGGGAGACGTAAGTCCGCCACACACAGGGAGGCACAAGGCTTCACTTTCCTTACCTGTGACCCTTGGAAGAGACAGTGGCATATGAAGCAGGAACCCCTGGAAAGGCTGGTATTTCACGGCATAGTAGTGTGATAGGTGTTGTGGTGAAATAGTTTAAAGCCCAGAGAAACGCTGTAAAATCTCAGAAATCATCTAAAAGTAAAGACGAGTGCATGAGAGGAAGCGGGCTCAGCTTTCCAAATGGCATTTATATGGAAGGCGTGCTGGGAATCCACTATAAACGTCCTTGGCTGCTGCTCTGGGGGAGGAGGAAGAGGTTTTATCTGGTCATCCACTTTGTCTTTCCACCTTACAAGGTGCAAGCAGACAAATTTAAAATAGACCTAGAAGACTGGGAGGATACTGGTCCTCAAAGTGCAGATACTGACACAGACTCGCTGGCGTCACTTGCTCTGTGCTCTTCTGGAGTTCTGGACTCTCTGATGTTAATATCAGATTTGCAAGGCTGAGAGCCACAGAAATTGTTCCATGGCACTTTACACGCATTTAAGAAGACCGTATTGGCAGGAAATAAGGTCATTATTAACCACCAAAGGATTAGCGTCCTCGCCAAGAGTTTTTGCAATGTGGAACACAGTATGTCAGAATTTTGAGATTTCTGAAAGTACTGAAATATACACTTAATCCTGTACATTTTTTTTGCATTAGCGCTGGGTCGTCAGCCTGCTCAGAGCCCTGGGTGTACTGACCGCACCGTGCTGTTTGTTTTCACTGCAGGATCGGTTCCGTGGGGCCTGGCAAGGAGGCGAAGGTGAAAGTCTACTTCACCCCAACGCACTGGGGCATGAGGAAGCTGATGGTGGATTTCAACAGCAACAAGCTGCACGATGTCAAGGGCTACAGGAATGTAATCATCGGCAAGTAGAACTTCAGCTCTGGAGAAACCATCCCAGGCCGTCTGACGGAACAGTCCTGTGACAGATTCGAGCACCGTGAACATCTCTACAAATGTATCTAAACTCTATTACTGTCTTTTTTTTCCCTCCTGGAGTTGTGCTATATAGTACTTTTCTTACCACAGTTTTTAATATCTTGTAATGAAAATTTTTATATTTGAACTTGATCCAAAAGCTGAGAATTGACATTTTTCTGGTCCATTTAAAAAGACTCTTCACTTAAAATTTGCAAAGAAGCTTCCTTCCTGCTGAGAAGTGATGGGTTTATCAGATGAATGACAAAAGGAAAGTATTAAGGAACAGCCCCTGAGGCCGTGGTCTTTCAGTGTAAAATGAAAGTTTAACTAGTGAGACAGCTGCAGTTTCAACTCCCGTCTAAGTAGAAATTACTACATTTTAGAAATGCATGCATACAAGTGCCAAACTCTCCACACATATGGCGGCAAGGAAATAAAATCAGATTCAGAATGATGCATATCTCTATGTTGTGCAGTTCCAGAACTGTGCTTTCCCAAGATGAAATAAGACCACCAGGACACTCTGAGGCAGGACTGGGATTTGAAATCGTCCCTTAACCGAAAGCAATGAATGTGTAAATTAAGCATTACGCTTGCATACATGGGTGTTCCTCCTTAACTGCGTGCAATACATCCTTTATACTGATCAGCCATTCAGTATAACTGCTATAAATCAGACCAAAAATAAAACAGGTAGCACCTAAGAGCAGTTAACTCTCAATCAAAGTGCAAATTAGGTATTGTATATAATTATTCACAAATGTTATTAATTTCATAAGTTAATAACATAATTCAAACAATGATACTCAATCTCACAGAGCATTCAGACTTTTTAAAATCCCTTCCTGTCTTTGTGTCCCAGTAATCAGTCCTCCAGCACAAGTGTTCCTCATCGTCGTAGTTCTGAAGCTGTTTTGTGAAAGTATGCCTGTCAAATACATTCTCTTCTCACTGAGACCCAGAGTCATTTTTAGGAAGACTTAATTTAGTGAGAATTTCCTTCTTTTCTTTTCCCTCAAAGGGAAACAAATACCAAATATGTTTTTGTGACAAAGGTTGAAGCAGTACAGCCTTCCAGCAATAGCTTATAAAATATTTTGTATGACAGCTTCTCTGTGAAAGTTTTCTATACTTTAAAAATGTGAATGACAACAGAGTATTAAGAATATTATGCATGAAAAATGTGCCTATTTTCTGTCTGATCTGAAAATTGTTCACTTCTGCATGGCTCAGATTGAGACCTACTGTCAACTGTGGCTGAGACACCACAAATATTGATACGTGACTGGCCAACCATCTCTTGGGTTGTTCTGGCTCATGATGTCCTCAGCTTACTGTGTAGCACACCAATATTCACTGCTCATAATTTCATGTGAAATTCGGTTGTTCACTTCATTGGTCTTTTTTACCAGATCTTATCCCATTGAAACATGGTGGACTGCTGTCCTCCAGGACAAAGGCCCAGGAATGTGCTGCTGGCATAGGAGTAACCCTGTGGCTGGCCAGACTCTTGGGGTCCTGATGGTCCTTAACCAATGCCCTGTTGAGTGTGAAAAGTGATAGACAGCTGAACAGTTTGCATCCACAGAGACAGGCTGCTATGAGACCCATCATCATGAGCAGAAATGACTGATGACTTATAAATCCAATTTTGGTTGGGGGATAAATTAAAATGTGTTGGGACAGTGGTGCAGTGGAAAACATTGCTGCCTTGCACTGCTGGAGTCCTAGGTTCAGTTCCTGGGGTGCTATCTGCATGGAGTTAGAAAAGGGATGGATATATAAAAATGTATGTGTACTACATTTTAAAACAAGAAACCAGTTCAAGAAATCTATTGATCATTGGCAGCATCATATTGCTTCACAGGAATAAACACAAATAAGCTTTTACAGAAGGGATGCAAATAAACTTGACCCAAAAGGTGTGCATGTTTCAATCGGCACCGTGTCCAATTGTGTAAGAAACCATGGTGACTGTAAGCTGCATTACAGACAAAAGCTTCAATAAAAAATGTAAAAGAATGTTTACGTGATCTGATTATTTGTTTCTCCTGTTTGCTGAAGGCCTGGGATATGTATCCGAGTGGTTTTTAACATTTTGTGGAACTCACAGTTGCAGATACAGTGTTGTGAGCAGCTGTTAACCATGAGATTCAGACATGCACAACCAACTCATCCTGACATATTCCCAGGAAACCCCCTTAATAACTAATCAGTGCTTGTGTACTAAATAATCACTTATTGTACCAGTTGTGGAAACTTGGCAGAGCTGGACAAATATTTTTCTAAATGGGAGAATTGCCCGTTGAGAGATCAACCGGAAAATATGTTGGAGTATTGAAGATTTAAATGATAAACAAAGAAAAATGAAGCACCAGCTAACAACAAATTGCGATGAATATTAATACCAAAGGAAAATGGGTGATGGATGACTGTATACGTTACCATACTTTTGGCACATTCTTAACCCCAATGAAGTCAACTGTTCCGAGCACTTGACTGTAATCAGTCAGCCAGGAGGAATTCATAGTTCACAGAGCTGGACTGATTGGGATGACAGGCTAGGAATGCTTTAAGTCAACAGTCTGGAGTGTGACTTTTACAAACCTATAGTCTGGGCCACTGGTCAGCATTACTCCTATTGGCCTCTCTCATTTGCTTATTTTCAAGATGTCACCTGAAGCTTTTAGTTGTTAAAAAAGTAGGACAATCTACAGTAGCAAAGTAGATCATACCTGATAACTGAGGAGCCAGAAACCTGCCCTTGAAAAGCATGGAACATTGTCCAAAAATAAGAGATGTTCACACAGCACTTCCAAAAATTGTACATTAAAGGGGCAGATGGAGGAGGCTCCCAGTGACATCACCATCAGCAATGGCTGCTTAACAGTTGTGTTCTGGGAATAGGAATCTCGGGATGAAGAGGGAAGTCCCCCAGCTAAGCAGGAGAAAGACATGAGTCCCCCAGTTTGCCTTGGAAAAAATCTGCTCTAAACTGAGAGACTTGGCCCAAACCCTGTGGATCCGTGCTGACCGAGATCCACTATGATCAGGTTTTTGAGATATAAGGCCACCTAGATAAGAAGTAATCCTGAAAAAGCACGGGTGAAAAAAAAACATTATGAAAATAAAAGGATATTTTAGGATATGATCGTGGCCATGTGCCCAGTGTAACGCGAACATCTGGAGAATGAAGGAATAAACACTCAAAAAAGTCCAAGTAATCCACCCAGAACACTCTTATGCTAAAAAAATAGCATAAACATTTAAAACACCCTTTCCAGCCCAGCTGGGGATGTTTTCTGACTCAGGAGTCTTGACTCACAGAGGCTTCAGTGCCTGAGCGCAGGTTCGGCTGCAGGAGAGGATGAGAAAGGACACCTGGCAGGAGGGGACAGGGGAGGGAAGCACAGTGCACAGAACCTGACTGACCATGGAACAGTACCAGACTGCAGGCTTCAGCAGCCCAGTAGGACTTAACTGACACAGCACCACTGGATCAGAATAACTCATATCTGCAGTAACCTGCAGTAAAAGCCTCGTCAGGCTCAGTAGGGAGTCCCTTTTTTCCATTTGCTTAAATATTCCTGTTTACTTTATATATTTTTAGTGAGCAATGTTGGTGTTATATATTTCTGCTTTATAGCTTCACTTTAGATTTGATTAATGTAATATTGTAGAATAAATCAGACTTAGATCAAAAGGACTATTTAGAAAAGGCCCTCTTTATTTAGAGAAGACAACTTTTGTGTCTGTTCATTCCCTATTTGCCCTTGTGCTTGGAAAAGTTGGACAGCTCCCCACATTTGAAGCCTGAAATTATACAGTAATTTACAATATTGTTCACTGTTTTCTTTAAAATACAAAGAGTACTTTGTTTTGAGAGATGAGGAGTTAGTGACTTTAGGATAAAAAGGTTATACAAGAATGGCTTTACAAGACGTTAAAGTGATTTCTTTTAATGTAAATGGTCTACACAACCCATTGAAAAGAAGTAAAACTTAAACAAAACCTAAACAAGATATTTCTGCAGGAGAGTCGTCTTTCCACACTGAGCATGTCAAATTAAAAGACGACGATGGGTTTTAATAAAGTATTCTATTCCTCCCATAAACTGGGTCATAAAAGAGCTGCAGCCATACCAATTTTGACTGCTGTGAATTTTGAATATTTATCAGAGATTAAAGACATGGGTGATGGATTTGTTTTGAAGGAAAATAGAAAATTGTTTCATCGCGTTATTTAGTGTTCATGCACAACCGGGAAGTGATAGATTTTTTTTTTCAAAAAATATTTGAATAGCCACATAAACAATGGGAATAGTAATATCAGGAAAGGATTTTAATCTTTATCATAAGCCCAAATTGAAATCATACAATAATCATAATAAGAAGCCTAAACTGCTGATTATATATAAAATAGATCTATTGCAGACCGGATATAGATGTACTGTATATAGTATATAGTATATAGTATATAGATGTATCCTGCAAAAAGGGACATTTCTCTGCCCCTAAAAACTCATATGGTAGACTTGATTATGAACAGAAAAGACAGAACCAAGGTTAAGGAACGTACTGTATAAATGGAACAATTGATCTATCTGACCGTGCACCCATTACTTTAATTACTTTAATGCTCGATTTAAACTAGAGCAAACAGAACAATCTGTGGGAGATGAGCTGCGTTGTTTTGAATGATAGCCATATCAAGGAGAGAACTAATCAGGAGTTTGAACAATTTGTACAAAACAATGATACAGAAGGGGATTACCCAATAATACTATAGGGTATAGCAAAAGCAGTGCTTTCTCTATTGGTACATACTGTATAAGTAAAAAGTAATACAAGCCAAATCTGAATTACTGTCAATATATGTATAACAGGAACACAAAAAACACTTACCCAGATGATATGCAAGAAATTATTATTTAGAGCAGAAATAATTTGCAAACTGTTGAAGTAGAAACAAAATAAGTTTATCAAATAAAATTACTATGAAGTTGAAACCAAATCAATGAAAACATTAGCAAGAACTCGACGTACACAAAAGCCAAACCCCCGATCCATAAAATTATTGGGCCAGTTCCAAACAAATTGCATCACAATCTAGAGGAATGCAAGCAACCTTTGTGGAATACCTAAAAAATGTGTACTCCTGAACTGAAATTGTATTCTAATATCTCCAATGAAATTACTAGAATCATTAGAGCTTTCTGATCTAAGTGCTGAACAAAACATTAATTAATTGATTAATTAATTAACTAACTGCAGGAATAAATAGTGAGGAAATGTATAAAACTATCTCTAACCTTACATCTAACAAATCACTAGGGACTGATGGCTTTCCATGTGAATTGATAAGGATGTACAGTATAAAGAACAATTAGGTCCTTAACTTCTGTCCATGTGTAATTGGATAAAGGAAGGAGGAAATCTGGACCCCACATAGAGAGAAGCTATTTCTATTATACCAAAGGAAGGGAGGGACCAGACTAGATGTAGGTCTTTTCGTCCAGTTTCTTAATGTGGATTATAAAATTTGTGATGCAATTATGGCCAAAAGAGAGAATTCTACTTCTACTGTAACTGATTAATCTACACCAAATAGATTTCATCTAAACAGACAAACAGGAGATAATATTAGATGTACATTACATATTGAGAAAAGCTTTTGATCAGATAAGTTGGGAAATTCTATATCAAAAACTTGAAAGAGATGGATTTCATAATAAATTTCTAAATGCAATTGAAATAATTTATTCAAAACCTGCCACACAAATTAAGATCAATGGTTATCTTTCAACAATTTTTATTAAGGTATCTTTTATAAAGAGGTAAAAGACAGCAATGTACTCTACCTCATCTATTGTGTTCTGTATATATACTGTATGACCTATAGTGGAACAGAATAGACAAAATCCAAATCGTAAGACAATAGAAATCAATGTACCAGAATACAATATTGCCTAATATTCCAATGATCCTCTTATAATTAGATCAACCTACTGAATATCCTATTATATGGTAAAATATCTGGTTATACAAATAAATATCTTAGTACACAATTAACTGTAGAGAAGACAGACTTTTTTACTTATAATTACAATCCAACAGATACTGTAAATTAAAAGGGAAATTTAAGGT